CATGCACACCCAGAGAAAAACAAGGAGGATCCCGTTACCCTGGGAGGTGGCAAGTATGTATTGAACAAGGATGAGCCAATCGTGATCATCCTGGACAAGCTGCACCGCGACCCCCAGGTCTATGGCCCCGATGCAGAAGAGTTCAAGCCGGAGCGAATGCTCGACGAGAACTTCGAAAAGCTTCCCAAGAACGCCTGGAAGCCGTTCGGCAACGGGATGCGTGCCTGCATCGGCCGCCCTTTCGCCTGGCAGGAAGCCTTGCTGGTGGTGGCCATCCTGCTGCAGAACTTCAACTTCCAGATGGACGATCCCAGCTACGATCTTCACATAAAGCAGACTCTCACCGTCAAACCAAAGGACTTTCATATGAGAGCAACTCTGAGGCACGGACTGGATGCTACCAAACTCGGCATCGCCCTGAGCGGCACCGCGGGCAGTGCCCCGCCAGAGAGTTCGGGAGCCGCGAGCAGGGATCGCAAGAAAGTCGCTCCTCCGCCTGGTCAGCTCAAGCCGATGCACATCTTCTTTGGAAGCAACACAGGAACGTGCGAGGCATTTGCGCGCAGATTGGCCGACGATGCCGTAGGATATGGATTTGCTGCCGACGTCCAGTCCCTGGATTCCGCCATGCAGAATGTTCCGAAAGACGAACCGGTGGTGTTCATTACGGCATCATACGAAGGTCAACCGCCCGACAATGCTGCTCACTTTTTTGAATGGCTCAGCACCTTGAAGGAAAATGAGCTCGAGGGTATTAATTATGCCGTGTTTGGCTGTGGTCATCGTGAGTTTACCTATCTTCCCCCTCTGGCTATGACTTGAACTATGCAGTTGCTAAGTCTAGTAGACGATTGGCAGGCTACCTTCCACCGCATCCCCAAAGCGGTCAATCAGCTTGTCGCGGAGCACGGAGGAAACCGGTTGTGTGATATTGGACTAGCCGATGCGGCCAACTCAGACATGTTCACCGACTTTGACTCGTGGGGCGAGTCCGCCTTCTGGCCCGCAATCACATCCAAGTTTGGAGGTGGAAAGTCCGACGAGCCCAAATCCTCGTCCAGCCTGCAGGTAGAAGTCAGCACGGGAGTGCGCGCCTCGACCCTTGGTCTTCAGCTGCAGGAGGGATTCGTGGTTGATAACCAGTTGCTTTCAGCACCCAACGTCCCTGCTAAGAGGATGATTCGGTTCAAACTCCCTTCGGATATGAGCTACCGATGCGGGGATTACTTGGCTGTGCTGCCCGTGAACCCGAGCAGCGTCGTCCGCCGGGCCATTCGACGCTTCGATCTTCCCTGGGATGCCATGCTCACGATCCGCAAACCGAGCCAGGCCCCCAAGGGGTCCACCTCGATTCCCCTTGATACGCCCATTTCGGCTTTCGAACTCCTCTCCACCTATGTGGAGCTCTCTCAGCCGGCCTCTAAGCGCGACCTGACCGCACTGGCAGACGCCGCCGTCACCGACGCCGACGTGCAGGCCGAACTACGCTATCTTGCTTCCAGCCCCACTCGATTCACGGAGGAAATTGTCAAGAAACGGATGAGTCCACTGGATTTGCTGATCCGGTACCCGTCAATCAAACTGCCCGTCGGCGACTTCTTGGCCATGCTCCCACCAATGCGGGTGCGTCAGTACTCCATCTCCTCTTCTCCCCTGGCGGACCCGTCCGAATGCTCCATTACGTTCTCTGTGCTCAACGCGCCGTCTCTGGCCGCGGAATCATTGCCACCCGCCGAGCGAGCGGAAGCCGAGCAGTACATGGGAGTTGCCTCGACCTACTTGTCCGAGCTGAAGCCCGGCGAGCGTGCCCATATCGCCGTGCGGCCCTCTCATTCCGGCTTCAAGCCGCCGATGGATCTGAAAACTCCCATGATTATGGCGTGCGCAGGAAGCGGACTTGCGCCCTTCCGCGGGTTCATCATGGACCGCGCCGAGAAGATCCGGGGCAGACGCAGCTCAGTCGGAGCTGATGGCCAGCTTCCCGAGGTTGAACAGCCTGCCAAGGCGATACTGTACGTGGGCTGCCGGACTAAAGGCAAGGATGACATCCACGCAGCTGAGCTTGCCGAGTGGGCTCAACTGGGCGCTGTGGATGTGAGGTGGGCTTACAGCCGGCCCGGGGACGGGTCCAATGGCCGCCATGTGCAGGATCTGATGCTGGAGGACCGTGAGGAATTGGTCAGTCTGTTTGACCAGGGCGCTCGGATCTATGTGTGTGGCAGCACGGGCGTGGGGAGCGGAGTGCGCCAGGTTTGCAAGGACATCTACCTGGAGAGAAGACGCCAATTGCGACAGGAGGCGCGCGAACGTGGCGAGGAGGTGCCTGCAGAGGATGACGAGGATGCTGCGGCCGAGCAGTTCTTGGATAATCTAAAGACCAAGGAGCGATACGCAACGGATGTATTTACTTAGCGAGGTACCTCTATAGCAGTCATACTTCCTGTCAGTTGCCAGACTCGGGATGATCTTCAGGTCCAGTAGGCCTATTCTCTCATCATCATGAGCATGCCGTAGACTAGGTAATTTGTATTCGCCTCATTAGCGTGCTTGGCTGCAGCTTGGCTCTACAACGTGGGCTTTATCAACGACTGCTACTGGTGAAAAAGACCGGGATGTGTAGATTGCCCTCAGATTAATCTACCTCTCTCCTGACTATAGTCGAGTTTAATTTCTGTATCCAAGACAACTGCCTCGGCGCAGTCCGGGGCGATTGACCCCTCACCATGCCGAGTATAAAACATGCGCCAGTCTCGCGTCTCAATCCTCCACTATCTTTCAAAAGGAGGCCACTCACTCTAGTAAAGTCAGAAAAATGAAGATAAAAGCCTCGCTGTTTCTCTGCGTCTCGGCGCTGGTGTCCTCAACCTCCGCACTGACCATCAGCCAAATCAACGGAAACCAATACCTCTCGCCCTACGCCGGCAAAACCGTCTCCAACATCCAAGGCCTGGTAACAGCCAAAGGCTCTGCAGGCTTTTATTTACGCTCCGCATCCCCAGACGACGACGACGCTACCTCGGAATCAATCTACGTCTACGGCAGCACTGCCGTCTCCAAAGTCTCCGTCGGCGACATCATCTCCCTTTCGGGGAAAGTATCCGAGTACCGCTCCTCGGCGTCGTACGTATACCTCACGGAACTCACCTCGCCATCTGCCATCTCCGTCGTCTCGAGCGGCAATGCCGTCGTCCCCGTGGTGGTCGGCAAGGGCGGCCGGGCGCCGCCTACGGAGCAGTTCTCCGCGCTGGACGGCGGGGATGTGCTCGCTGTGCCGAACAATGTCAGCACAATCAGCAAGGCGAATCCGGTGCTAAAGCCGGGGGAGTACGGGATGGACTTTTGGGAGAGTCTGAGTGGGGAGTTGGTGAGGGTGTCGAACGTAAGGGCGATTGCGAAGCCAAATTCGTATGGGGATACGTGGGTGCTTGGGGATTGGGAGGCGAGTGGGGAGAATGAGAGGGGTGGGTTGACGATGCGGGATAAGGGTATGTCTCCAGCATTTATTCTTGTTGCCAGTTCCTGGGTGCAGTAGGCTTGAAGCTGGACGGGGCTGATGAGCATACCTAGATTCGAACCCCGAGGCTGTCATTGTTGGGTCCCCGCTGGATGGTAGTAAGAATCCTACCGATACGAAACTGGGGGATTTGATTGGGGACATCACGGGCGTTATCACCACGGCGTACGGGTACTATGCGCTGCTGCCTCTGACTGCATTGACTGTTACTGGGTCGAACACGACGGCAGCAGCCGCTACGGATCTGGAGTCGACTGGAACCTGCTGCGGTGTGACGGTTGGCTCGTACAATGTCAACAATCTCGCTCCCAACTCGACGACGCTGCCCAAGATCGCGCAGCACATTGCGCAGTACCTGAAGAGTCCAACGCTGGTCTTTCTGCAGGAAACCCAGGATGATGACGGGCCGACTGATGACGGCGGTATGCTTCGTCTCTGACTGACCGTGACTATCAGCTAATGCATGCGCAGTGGTATCCGCCAACAAGACGCTCTCGACCCTCGTGCAGTCCATCGCGGACCAAGGCGGCATCGACTACTCCTTTGTCGATATTGCCCCCGTCAACAAGGAGGACGGCGGCCAGCCAGGCGGAAACATTCGCGTCGCCTACCTGTACGATTCGTCCGTGATCCGCCTGCGCAACGCCAACCCCGGCTCCAACACCGATGCCAATGAGGTCCTCCCCGGCGCTGAACTCAAGTACAACCCCGGGCTGATCGACCCGTCCAACGACGCCTGGGACGACAGTCGCAAGCCGCTAGCCGCAGCCTGGGAAACGCTCGACGGCAAGAATAAGTTCTTCACGGTGAATGTGCACTTCACCAGTAAGGGGGGTGGGTCGTCGATCGAGGGCGATGCCCGGCCACCTGTGAACGGGGGGGTTGCTACGCGTGAAGCGCAGGCGGAGCTCGTTGCTGTACGTTCCTCGCTTTTTCTAAACCTTGAACGCTACTAACGACAGAAGGAATTTACATCGTCCATCCTGGCCGAAGACTCCAGCGCCAAGATCATTGTTTCCGGCGACTTTAACGAATTCACCTTTGCGCAGCCGATCGAGACCTTCCTGGCTGAATCCGGGCTGGAGGATCTGGACGAGGCTGCCGGTATTGCAGCTACAGAGCGGTACACGTATCTGTACGATATGAACTGCCAACAGCTGGACCACATGTTTGTGAGCCCGGCGCTGGCCAAGGGCGCCCAGATGCATCATCTGCACCTCAACACCTGGGTCTCGTACGACGACCAGGCAAGCGACCATGATCCTACAGTGGCGTTGCTGAATGTGTGTAGCTAGTTTGTTTTACCTTTCACCTGTATAGCAAGAGCACTGTCTCCAGCATGACTAGGAATTATCCAACAGCCTTAAGCAAATCGGGATCAATCTCCGGCAACCGGTTATCAGGCTTATAGCATCCATAAAACAAATTACAGCAGAGACACTCCGCTGTGCAATGCCCATACACACCTCCCTGCTTCCTCTTCCCGTTAGCCAACGGAATAAACAGTTCCCGCAGAGGTTGACTGCAACACCCACACCGCCGCCCACAGCACCCCCCCACCCATCGCACAGGTATACTGATGCTCCTCCCACGCCAGCGTCTGCCCCTTCTCGTTATGCGTGACCCGCAGAAACTCAAACTCATGGGAATCCCCCGCCCTGCCGCCCGTCGGAGGCAGCGCCAGCGTATTCTGCAGTGTCTCGAGGTGCTCGCGGTAGAGGCGCTTCAGCGCGGAAATCATCTCGTCGAGGGTTGTGCTGCTGTACGGCGGTGGATCGACGCTCTCGCTCTTGCCCTTGCTATCTGGTCTGTATGTGCTTGTCTGGTTGGCGTTGAGAGTCTGCAGGGCGTTGATGCGCTGGAGGATTGCAAATCCCTTGCTTTGTTCTTTGTGGTACTTGGCTATCCATTCTTTGTAGATCTTAGTGTCGTTGGGCGCGGCGGTGGCGTCCGCGGTGGCTTTTTCTTTGAGCTCCGCCCGGGTTTTTCGGATTTGGGAGTGTTCGTAGCGCTTTCTGAGGTCGGGGAGGAGTTTGCTGGGTTCCATTGTTTGTGGTTGGAGGATTGTTGTGAGGAGCATCGTGTGGATAGTGTCTGATGAGTATATTGAGTGGTATAGTGTATGCTATGCCTGAGAGACCGGGTGTCATCTACTGAATCTATAGGTATCTACGTCTAAGCCAAGGTACCATGTCAAACTACACTTGCACCTACATCGGGGTTGATCATCAGAAACCAGGTCCATGGCCGTCGGCCTTGGCACACTCTGTCTCCATTTACACTGTTCCTGGAGGCAAAGATTAGATACATAAAGTAGTTACTATCTGTATCTGTTACCAACACAGCAATAATTTATAGAACGACATCCCATGTAAGATTGAGATCAGATTAGATGTGCAGAGTTAACGAGGAACCAATAAGGGTGTTTCATCTTAGATGCTGTGATTGATAAGATTGCCATGTCCTATTGGCTGCATTCTATTACCTGTGCATTATTTTGATGCTACAGTTGATTATGTTACTCTGATAGTGAGTTTTTCATGGGTATATGACTTTTTGATTATTTATATAGTTGCTTACTATACAGAGTAAATCCTGTTGACGATGGAAGGATAGGGTTATAGCGGCCTTGGGATAGATCCATATTTCCATAGGGTAAAAACAGCAGCTAGTTATCTATTAGCAGGACCCAAGAGTATGTGGAAAGGGTCACGACGCCTCACTAGGAGATTGAGAAGCAATAGATGCTAGATGACATAAGTATACCTTCAGACAACATAAAAAGGGATGGCAATGCATGGGAATGATGAGTATATCAATAGCAAAATTGCCTCACTAGTCTCTCGGACATGGAGGAAAGTCAGCATAGTATGCAACAAAGTTGAAGCAGCAATGTAAGGGCCCTCTGTAAGGCAATCTACACTGTGCCGGGAGTCTACTGTTCTGGACTTAAGTGTGTAGAAATCGGCGCAGACCACGGAGTGAGTATTAGGCCATCTGCGAGTGAAGTGCATGGCTGCTTCTTGCATAGGAGTGTCAATGGGAGACGAATATGTGATTCTATGTCATATAGGAGTGACGCATAAATTATTTCTAGCTCGTAAAATGATAGTGCAGCAACATGTATGTTAATCCTCCTAATGTTGGTCCATGAGATTCCCGCCGGAAATTCCTCGGATTTCACTCCGGAAAAGCACCATCTCCATCGGATATTTCCTATATAATCCCCTCCACCATCTAAAAAGGATACAGCTCTATGAGTCGTGGAAAAAGTAAAATGGCTCTACCTGCATCCTACTCTCTAAAAACAGGCCACAGCATTCCAGCCATCGGCCTCGGAACATGGCAGTCCAAGCCCAATGAGGTCAAAGAGGCCGTCTGCACAGCTTTAAAAGCCGGATACCGCCACATTGACGCTGCAGCCGTCTACGGCAACGAGAAGGAAGTCGGAGAGGGGATTAAATTATCTGGTGTTCCCCGAGAAGAGATCTTCGTATGTCGACCGTCACAATTACCCCTGACTACGCTGACTGCAATTGCTAGATCACCAGTAAACTATGGAACACACACCATGAGCCCGAACACGTGGAGGAGGCGCTTGAACAAACACTCCGCGATCTCCAGATTGACTATTTAAATCTCTATCTGATCCATTGGCCCGTTTCATTTCGGTACTCAACGACGACGATCCAGCCAGTGGATGCTGAAACCGGGCTGGTCGATGTCATTGACGTTCCAATCAAGGATACCTGGGCTGCGATGGAGAAGCTGGTAGAGAAGGGGAAGGTGCGGTCCATTGGAGTGAGCAATTTCACTCGGCAGAGGATTGAGGAGCTGATGACTACGTATGTCCTCATCCTTTTTGTGGAGATGAAGGAGCTGATTGCAGAGCGTAGGGCTCGCATCCACCCCGCCGTTAACCAGATCGAAGCGCATCCATATCTCCAGCAGAGGGATTTGCTCGAGTGGTCCAAGCAACAGGTATTGGCATCTTGCAAGCATGGATGTATACATTACTGACGGAGTAGGGGATCGTGATAACCGCTTACTCGCCCCTAGGGAACAACATTTACAATATTCCTCGGTGAGTATCCTACAACCACACAATGCCCATAGCTAACGATCCAGGGCTGTCGATGACCCAACCGTCATTCAGGTCGCCAAAGAGCTAGGCAAGACACCCGCGCAGGTGTTGATCAGCTGGGCGATTCAGCGCGGGACGTCGGTCGTGCCCAAGTCAGTCACCGCAGAGAGAATTAAAAGTAATCTCGAGGGTAAGTGTCAACTGAACTATATGAAGGTACACTGCTGACGACGTAGTGTTCGTTTTACCTGAACATGCATTTGAGAGAATCCAGGCGTTGGATCGTCACCAGCGGATGAACTTCCCGGCTAGATTGGGAGTCGATATCTTTGGGGAGGTGGGCGAGGAATCGGCCAGGCAGAGTGCGTTGGAGTGGGCTAGACAGCAGAAGATGCAGGCAAAGTGACTGTAAATAGAATACCTCATAGATGGTGTATATCCAGCGGAAGTAGATACATTTAGCCGATGTTTCACAATTCTTGCCATTAAACATACATCTACAGTAACTGGCTCTGCCTATATTGGACAACCCATACACCTTTTAGCTTACTGGGATATGGTTGGCAAGACTGCTCCAATCCAATATCATAAAAATAAGGCAGTAATAATTTCTCCGAATAACCTCTATTCCTCGAGCTGCGACGATTGCTGCATCTTTTCCGACGGATATGGATGCACGCGGATATCACTTCGGATAACCAATAAAGCACTTCGGATCTCCTTGATATCATTGTGTACAAGCTTGACAGCACTCGTATAAGTCCTTGGCATCCCCGCATTTCATTGTTCGTCTGTTGACCCCGGATATGCATCTACGGGCCATGTGCCTGCTCTGAATTCCTCGTGGGGATATGCATACCCCAGATCAGCGGGGAGCCAAGACCTGCTTGAACGAAGATATAAAAGCGATCAGGAGATGTCGTGCTCTCTTCCTTATGGGGCATATCGCCGGATATTGACAGCACTCAATCACTACCACCATGAATACCAAAGCCGAAGGGCAGGTCGAGCACATCGATCACTGTGACGAGGTGTTGAAGCCGACTCCTCAGTATGACAAGTTTGGCTCCGCCGCCAAAACAGATCCCAGAGAGATTGCTCTCGTGAAAAAGATTGATCTATACATGATGGTCGGTCCATGTATGCGGTATACTACCTGATCTTGCTGACAGAAGCAGCCCATTCTCTGGCTGATGTACTTTCTCAACTTCCTCGACCGAAACGCCATGGTCAATGGCAAGCTCAACAACCTGTCCAAAGACCTGCATCTTCACGGAACGCAGTACAACACCTGCGTGAGCATCCTCTTTGTCGGGTGGGCATATCTCTCTTAAGAAAGAGGCGAATACTGACGAGTCTAGTTACCTCCTAGGCCAGGTCCCGTCCAACATGCTCCTCAACCGCGTTCGACCGTCGTGGTACATGGCCGGGTTCATGATGGGGTGGGCTATTATCTCTACCCTCACCTGCCTTGTCAAAGACTACCACGGCATGCTCGTATGTCGGCTCTTGCTTGGGATCGTCGAGGCCCCGTTCTACCCGGGGGCGCTCTTCATGATCAGTCTGTTCTATAACCGCAAAGAAGCCACCACCCGCATGGCCGTCCTATATACAGGAAATATGCTGGCTAGTTCATTCTCCGGACTCATCGCCGCGGGCGTCTTTGCCGGACTAGACGGCGTCCACGGCCTGGCCGGCTGGAGATGGCTGTTTCTCATCCAAGGCGTGGTCACGTTCGCCGTGGCCATTGCCGCGTTCTTCCTGCTTCCCAACTCGCCACTCAAGACCCGGTGGCTGAGCCCAGAGGAGCGGCAGATGGCATACGACCGGATCGCCCGCGACACCACGCAGAAAGAGAACCGCACGAGCACATGGAAAGGTCTCCGCGAAGCATGCACCGACTACCGCACCTGGCTGTTTGCCCTCCAGTGCAATCTCCATCTGTCCGCCAACGGCTTCAAGAACTTCATGCCAACCGTCGTCAAAACCCTCGGGTTTAACTCGACCATCACCCTCGTGCTCACCTGTCCCCCGTATCTCGTGGCAACGTTCGCCTCCGTGCTCGTCTCCTGGTCCTCGGGCCACTTCAACGAACGCACCTGGCACATCACCCTCTCCAAGCTGCTAGCAATTATTGGGTTCGCCGTAGCCTGCAGCACCCTCAACATCGCAGCCCGCTACTTCGCCATGATTCTCTTCGTGGGGGCAACCTACGGCGTCAACAATATCAACCTCGCCTGGACCGCAGCGACGCTAGGGCAAACCGACGAGAAGAAGGCCGTGGCGATTGCCATCACCAACACATTGGGGAATCTGGCGAGCGTGTACACGCCGTACTTGTGGCCGGATTCGGATGCGCCGCGCTTCTCCAAGGCCATGTACTGCAGCATTGGGTTCTCGGCGGGAGTGATATTGACTGCTTGGGTGCTGCGGTGGGTTCTCATGCGGGCGAACCGGCGCATCCGGGCTATGGACTCGGAGGCGATTAATTTTTATGCTTATTAGCGGCACACAGGAGGATAGCAGCTGCTTTCAAGTTTATATGAGCTGATAATCAGAGATAAGGGAAGTCATCAAGCTCTTTTCTTGTGAGATCAGATTGTAGGCCAGATGCAAGAGTAATCCAGAGACTAAAGGAGTCTAATACTTCAGTTAACAGTAACTTTGCAGGTCATGAAGATTTGTATTCACAGTCGCGTATACCTCCATGTATCATGTGATCAGCTTTGTTTATATCAAACGTCGAGTCCTCGACTCTTCACTACTCACTTCAACTTTCCAGACCTCACGATGCAAGGGCAACACCAAGCTTATAAGCTTTTCAGTAGACATTTCAGCTCAGCTATAACTTCCATCTGAGCTCGGACTCTCTCAACAAATCTCGCACAGACAGAAGCGAACCACCCCTTCTTTTGCTACACGTCCGGCCGCTGGCTATACAATGAACGGCTCCAATTGGAAAGAAGATATGTCAATTCAACATTCCAGCTCTCCAGCAAGCTGCTGGTAAAGTACTTGGTACTAGATGTGTGCAGATGACCAAGCAACCGGAGGGAATGTACAACAAGGTATTTTCACTGAAAACGGAGAACGGCGAGGAAGTGCTGGCAAGGATCCCGAATCCAAACGCTGGTCATCCTCGATATCGCGTGGCTAGTGAAGTCGCGACCCTTGATTTTGTGTGTAGATCTGTTCTTGCAAAAGTTCTTGCTTAGCTAATGACATGGTAGCTTCGCAATGTTCTTAATGTCCCAGTTCCTAGGGTCATGGGCTGGAGCTCTCCATCGCAGCCTAACTCCGTGGGTAGCAAGTATATGATGATTGGAGTGGGTAATAGGACGCCAATTGAGCGGGGTTTGGGATGCCATGTCTGAAGCTCGGCGCTTTGGGCTGGTTAAAAAGTCTAGTCGAGATTGAGAGGAAGTTGATGAGCGCACGGTTTACGAGCCATGGCAGTCTATATTACAAGGATGCATATCCGTATCGCAAAGAGCTTACTGGAAAGTTCGTCATTGGCCCAACAACTGAGCGGTCTTTTTGGGAAAACGGAAAGCATGATCTCGATATTGATCGGGGCCCTTGTAGGTTTATCTGATATTCAATTTGATAACGGACCAATGGCTTGTAAGGGGATTCCGCGCAAGAATACCTTTCGGCTGTCGCGAACCGTGAGATTGCCTCGATACAAAACCAAGGCTCAAAGACAGCAATTGCAATGGATAGTCATGTCCGGCTTCTGGAACAGGTTCTAACGCTGCTCCCTCACATTTTACCACTGGAGGAGCTTTCTAGTCCTGCCCTGCTGCACCATGACCTTCATTCAGACAATATATTTGTTGACGACGCGGATCCAACAAAAATATCAAGTATAATCGATTGGCAGGCAGTTTATTCCGCCCCATTATCCATGCAAGCAAGGTTTCCTTCGGTCTTCGATTGCGATGACCAGTATCCATGGGGCGCTGTTCACCCTGAATTGCCGGAAGACTTTGATACCCTCTCACAGACGGAAAAAGAGCTGGCTAGAGACAAACTTGCCAGGCTTCGATTGAAGAAATTCTACGAATTAGCTTCAAGGAAATTCGACCCGCTTCTCGTCAAGGCCATGGATGTGATGAGAAATGACGATGACCCTACAACCTTCATTTTCCATACTGTCGGACAGTCCTCCCTCGATGGACCGATCCCGCTCAAAGAACTTCTTATCCAGGTGTATGAGAAATGGGACCAAATAGCGAAGCGGAGAGGTTTGAAGATACCATGCCCAATTCCATTTTCGCAAGAAGAAATCGAAGAAAGTCGTCAGCAGGCGGCTGCATGGGCGGATGCGTATACAGAGCTTGACACTACGAACGCTAGTCATGGGTAAAGATGGCTGGGTCTCACATGAGGAATTTGAAGATGCCATGCGCAGGTGGGAAGAAAACCGAGCAACTTTTGAAAGCCTTCAAGAGCGAGTAGAAGAGTTGGCTTCATAAAGCTTCCATCGCACACTGCAATCGAAGCACACCGTAGAAACAGTGTGTATTGAACGAATGAATAGGATCCGGTGGAATCGTCTTTCAAATTTCTCTCCTAGTCAATTTGGAGTCTACCGACAAAAGCAGTTGAGAAATAGGGTGTGAGAGTCACCCTTGCGATATATTATACCGTCGACACCCCGCAACGATGACCCGGAGAAATGAAGAGACCAGAAGGACACCCTTGCAACCACACAAACACCTATCCCTAGATACCGCTTGCGTCTCCGTCTTACCAAGTCATACATCTGTCTGTCCTCCTGCGTTGGATTATCTAGATCTCCTCATATGGCAGCTACACTATTTCTTGGCCAGGTTTTGAAAGGGCGAAGAGGGCTGTACACTGTCACAAATCGACTGCAGGACTGCGTCTGGCTTGCTAGGTGCGCCATTCTCTCCATATGCTGTCAAGCAATAAGCTCATAACGATTACAGAAACGAGAATCAGGAGAAAGTCGTGGCAAAGAGTGTCACACACTTCCGATCACAGAACGAACGAGATATCCTGTTTCGTTTTCAGAACCGAACTCCCTGTATTCGCCCGCTGATCGATGAACTCGAAGATTCGACTATTCCTCCTACCCTCATACTCAGATACCTGGATGATGATGCTCTTCGCGCCTCGAACCAGCAGCGGCTTACGCGTCCAGAGGTGAAGTATGTTGCAAAAAAGGTGCTAGAAGGACTGTCAGTTCTGCATGAGGAGGGGTTTGTACATACTGGTACGCTCCACTTATCCCAAGTTTCTGCTATGCGAACTTACTGATGAATTTATTGTAGATATCAAGCCCAGTAATGTGTTAGTGAACTATGATCACAGCGACATCCGGTTCGCAGATGTCCAGCTAGCAGATTTTGGAAGCACGGTTCACATGGACTCCCTTCACGCACAACGCGGCGACTCAATTGGCACACCTATCTTCAGAAGCCCTGAAGCACATCTTCAAATGCAGTGGGGCCCTGCAACAGACATTTGGTCTTTTGGTGCAATGGCAAGTTAATCTTCAGGCGAGGAGTCTAGCTCAAGTATTAATGCCCGTCTACCATACAGCTTATCAGTCTTCTCTATGGGAATGGATTCCACATATTCAAGCCGGATGTCCCTGCAGACCATGACGAGTATGACCTCAGGATACTCATGAAGCATCATAGATGCTTCGGGCCATTCCCAGAATCGTACGAAGAGATTGCGGACCAGCAACGACTGGCTGCCCTTGTTTGGGTCATGCAGAACAGCCCTCCTGAGACATTGCGACCATTTCAGCTGACCACTACCAAAGAAATTTGCCAGGAGGACAAGGAATTTGTACTAAGAGCAATGAAGCTTGATCCTCGGGATAGGCCGTCAGCACGGCAGCTCTTGGAAGATGGATGGCTTCATCAGTTTTAACCACTTGCAGTGCGCGGTCAAGCCTAGTGCGGACGTCTCAGTTGTAAGACATTGCATTAATATATGATTAGAATAGAAAATCAATCTCGGTTAGTCTAGTGCTCAAATTATCCAGCACAGCACACTCAATCGATGTAATTGGGCTTCGTTTCGAGAGTAGACTGCCTCAGGCATCGACCATTGCTGGCCTGAACGGGCAGTTCTTCTGTTTGCCTCGATTTGAGCAGCGAAGTATCTACGATGATCATCCACAGTAATGCAATCAAACGCATTCCATCAGAACCGACAATATTTTAGCCCAGGACCAGTGTTTGTGTTTTCTGGGTGACTATCTCTCAAATTATTGACGGCCTCAACTCCGGAACGCAACGCCCAGATTTGTCTCATCGCTCGGGCCAGATACCATATCCGGCGTGTGTGATCATCGCCCTTCCATCAATCTGAGGTGAAAAAGGGCACTCTGGAACAGGGAACCGCATATTGATCACCCCGAATTATGGCTATCACACTCACTACTGCATCTTTCGCACCTAAATTTCTTTTGCGCGGCACGGACTGAAATTTTGCATTCGTCGCCAACTGGCGATCCTTTGCCGTCTTGGACTTGTCACACCAGTGCCGCGAACACGGATGTCGAATAACCGATCAATCCTACGGACACGATCCGAAGAGGTCCTGACTCTGACGAGCTGGCTGACTGTGGCTGACCAGGAAGAATGCCGTCCATCACTCCAGAGTCCAGACGTCCTGCCGATCAGGAGAAAGTCGCTCAGAAGTGATGTGATTGGGCGTCGGCAACCCCTGTGGGCCATGATTCCATGGATTTCAAACGATATTCGTCACATCCGATAAATGGGCATACTTAATAGCAAGGGACGAGGCATCGCATACAAGGACAACGACCTGCAAGGCCATCACGTTGACCTTCTTGCGTGAATTACCGGAGCTTCATCATTTTCGCTCCAGTGGATGATTGTGCCGACGGGATCATCAACGGTTTGAGAGATGGATTCGTCAAGGTGTACAGGCTGATCATTCTGAATTTTGAGACCAACGATGATCTTGAGCCTCGAGTCTCGACTCTACTCGCAACTGGTCGACTCGCTAGGGTCCCAGCCATATCCGCCATCCGCAACAGCCCGCGTTTCACAATATGTATCATCAAACCGCCCATTCAGGGCTAATGGTACCTTTCTACCGAGTGATGATGACATATGGAGGTGATACCTGGACCAGCACATTGCCGTGTGGCTTTGTCGCTGACCTCCGTTCTTGTTGTTTCCATCAATGGTGGCTCCACTAGGGAGCACCACAGCAGACCGTCAATCCGTGTCGCCGCGGGCATGGACCCTACATCCGAAGCCCTGACCAGCCTGTTTCTTGTCCTGACTCGAAAACGGACGGATAGACTTTTTCATCCATTTGTTGCTCAATTCCTTTAATGATTTTATGCTAGAAGTTCTCGTCTATAAAAAGACGCCTTGTCTCCCTTGATTTCTTCGACTCCAAGCTCGCTTTGTCCAACGCAAGCTTGACGTTCATTTGAAGACAACTTCTACTTTCATTCTATATTCGAAGACCATCACTTTCCTACATCGAAATGAAGCTCTCCATTGCAGCAACATTGGGCTTTTTGGGCTGTGCCCTCGCCTTGCCCGCACCTGTTGCCAGGGAGGCCGACCTGCCATTCCCTTTCCCAGCTGGTGGCTCTGGTAGCTCTGGCTCTGGGTCTGGTGGTTTTCCATTCCCTATTCCTTCGGGCGCCCCTACCGGCTTTCCATTCCCTATTCCTTCGGGTCTACCTAGCGGCTTTCCAACTGGTTTTCCATTCCCTATTCCGTCCGGCGTGCCAACTGGGTTCCCATTCCCTATTCCATCCGGCCTGCCCACTGGATCCGGTTCCAGCGGTTTCCCCGGCTTCCCTGGACTGGGTGGCAGCGGAGACTACGAAAAGCGCGAGGAAGCTCCTCGCCGTCACGACAACCCATTCGGCGACTTCCCCGGATGGCCGTGGCCATGGCCGAAGCCCAGTGGTGGCTTTCCCGGATGGCCAAAGCCGACTGGCCCTCCTTCTTTCCCTCCTGGCGGTAACGGAGGCACCCCTACTGGCGGCTTTCCGGGCTTCCCAAGCATCACACCTACGCCTACTCCCAGCTCGACTCCTACTCCCAGCGCCACTCCTTCCGGCTTCCCTTTCAGGGGCTGAGTGAGCCTCGGCAACTTCGGTCGACAGTGGAAAGTTGAACCAATTGACGATAATGGGTAGGAGCAAAGGAAACTGCGACGCGTTTGGTACACTGCTGGATTGGGTACCTGAGGAATTATGTTATATGCAGTCTTTTTCTGTTCTAGAATGGTCTTGATTTGTGTATCTAGAAAGCAATGAAGTTTTGCATTCCACATACAATCAGCGTAGTACGTTAGCATCAACCAAGCATCACCTTGGTCTTCCCATACGTCTCCGCGTACGTGTACAACTACGCCACGATTGATGGCAATGATGATAGCCAATGGCGTAAACAAAACTCGGGAAGCTCAGAAGTCATCAGGCAATCATGACAAGCTTAGATTTGATACTCTTGGCCCAAGAAATGATGGACGACGACTTCAATAGTGAAGATGAGGTTGGTGATACCAAACCACCTTGGGCTCAGTTCAATCACTGCAATGAAAGCATATATGTCATGTCCTCCCTGCTGTGTTGACCCTACTGTACTATCATGCCTACTAGCTAGATATGGTTGTCTGGACGCCTTTTTGGCTGAGTAGGAGATGTATGACAATCTACAAGAGAGGATAGAATACACCGGAAAGACGATATTAATACTATATTTGCACCGATAAATAGAATAGTTGCCTAGTACCTACTAGATATAAGTGTGTGCACAGGGTTTGGCTGTGCATCCCAATAAACCTAAATTAGGTCTTCAGGATGTTAATAAGCTGATTTTGTTGCTGCAGGCTGGATTCTGTAGGGTGAAGAGCTTCCCAACAGGATATCACAATCCGCGAACTCAATCACATGATTCATAGCCTTATGGAATTAAAAAGCTTGTATTATCATCCTTCACGTGCAACAGGCGGCCAGATAACCTGAGCGACAGCCGCTACTAAGGGATCCGACTTCTCGATATCCGAGACATAATAGCAAAATGGATCTTTTGTGTACCGCAGACTGAAGGCTATATACAAAACAAGCTCATCTTAGCTTCACCAGTCCAGATCAGAAGCTGGTTACTAGACTCCAGCACCACGGTGAGGTGTGAGCTTAACACTGGAGACCTGGAGGTCACCGATTAAGTCAGCAAATGAACAGAAATGTTGGAAAATATCCAACAACAAGGAAAAAAAATTTGGAGGGAGATCTGGTTGAACACTGTCTACCTCCCAGTGCCAACCCGGAGAACGTATGCAAGCACAATGCCTGCCAGCTGCTCCATATGTACAGCGCTGTCTATTCTGAACGGACCATAGGTATGGAGCTCCAGGAACCTCTTTGGTGCGTCCGAATTGTGCAGATATCGGAGGTAATGACGGTCGAGGGTGCCAAAGGTGAGGAAGATCTCGTCCCGGTCCTCTGATACCATGAAAATGCTAGAGCATGACTGCATGTCAGTGTATAAACTCGCAAGATGATGAATGATAAAAACTCACCCGCCGACCTTGGCAGTCTCTGGGCGATGCCTCTGCTCAGCCAAGTAACAATCTGCGCAGCCTCTTGAAATTGCACCGATGGCAGAGCGTCCGTGCGAGCTTTAGCTTGCACTCAATCAGTGCATGGACTCTCTCTGGCTCGTCGAATATCCGCAGAACTCCATCTGTGCGAGCCTCGAGCTCGTTAGTCCCAAACCGCGCCCTGAATTGGTAACGGCTGGCTATCCATTGTCCATGGACCCCGGGCATCTTCATGCAGACTGCTTGGAGCCAGTCAACAATTGCGAAATTGACTATTTCCTCATCTGTGGTTGGTACGATGCGCCACGCATCGACATGATCCGGGTCAACAAGTCTGACTTTCTGGCTCGTGAGTCTGTCAGCTTCCAGGACATGGCGCTGGTGGTTGCGAGGGATCTCAAAGATCCCAAGCGGCAATTGATCCCCAGGCCCTTTTTGTGTTACCCCCATGTCCAGCCGCACACTTTGTAGGTAATTGCTGAAATCACTAAAGTGGTTCGTCAGTAGACTCTGCGCCCTTACCATATGTTCCGTGAGCTCCCACTTCTCCGCATCAAATATACCGGCCGCATGGGGAACGCATATGATTCTGAAGGTCAAGAACTCTGATGGGATAATTTTAGACCCGGAGGACAAGCTTTGGAGGGTATGGATGGTCTTTCCTGCCAGGTCAGCATCTTTGACGGCTTGCTCCCAGTGAGCGTCAAGTTCTGGGATTCGGAATTTGTGAGAAGGCATGGTGGATAGCTTATGCTTTCCACAGAGAAACAGCAGAGAAACAGCAGAGAAACAGCAGAGAAACAGCAGAGAAACAGCAGAGAAACAGC